TGGTTCTTGTTACTTAGTTTCTATTTTTTTTCTTATTCGTTGTTATTATTATATATTTTCCTTTGTCTATTTTGCGGAGAGGCAGCATTCCCGTGCGGTAAAGAAAGCCAGACGGGAGGGCTTGCCTTTACCAGTCGCGCCTAAGCCCGGGACCCGAAAATATGTGAGAATAGATGTAAGTGTTTTACAATGTATATTTGTATATTGGTGTATTGATATATCTGATCAATTTGTTTCTTGTTTGCTTGTTAGTTTCAGAGATGGAAATTAGTGCGTACTCTGAGGCATTGCGATCGAGTGACGCAGACGGCCTTCTTCTTGGGGGAGTACGGTCCAGACGAAGATACTTGGAATCTTCGTGAATTATTTTTTTATGATTTGTTAGTGTATTGTAACGGTTTTCGTCGAGTATGTGTGGAGGTTTTTAGTGAGTTTTATAATGTAATTATAGGTCCAAGTGTAGACCATCGATATAAATGTAATTGTATATAAGTGTAATTATATTTGTAAACAGAATTGTAATAAATCTTTTTTTTTTTGTCTTTTGTTTTTTAGATAAGAAATTTGTTTTTAATTTAGATTCCTAAAGCGAATATCTCGCTACCCTCCCCGTTTAAAATGTGGCCATGACGTAAAGCATTTGGGGTACTGAACAACACGACAATTAGACTTTTGTTGAAAATAGGTCATGTTTGTATTTGATTATTGTTGATTCGAGAGGTAAGTTTTGTTGAGGAATAGGACAGTGGGTATCAGGGTAAATTTGTATCTTGACGTCTGTGTCGTTCAGGTTTGTGTGTATTGTGTCTAGTTGAATTTCTACGTTTTGTTTGTTATTTGTTGTCATACTTTCATGGCTTTGTCGTCCTAGTATCATTAGCAGGTGGGTTATTGAGCTGAAGAAGGCCCATAGTAGGTTCATAGACCAGCCATAAACCATGTGCAGCGTACATCCTCTGATGATGGTGTCAATCGTCAATTTTATTATTTGCAGTAATATTAATATCATTATGATTACTGACGAGATTAATCCGCACGTGATTAGTTTGTTGAATATGTGATTCCACGTGCTTTCAGCCAATTTTGTAAGTGTATTTTCTGTAAAAATGTCCTTTGTTGTTCCTTCTTCTGATATTTCTTTAGCTATAATATTTAACAGAGATGCTTTTTCCATGGGGAACATTATTTGTTGTTGTAGCTGGTCCAATTCTTGTTGTGAGTATATGCCGCTAGTTGCTAATGAATCTATGGATTCAAATTTCCATTTTATGTTTGTGTTAGGTTTGAGTGCTTGTGGTGGTATTGCTTCCATTGGTTTGGGTGTTAGTTTTATCCATTTGCTGTTTACTTTGTAGTATGTAGGTATTATGGAGTTGCAGTTCATTGGAGTACCTCTTCTTTTGAGGATATGTGTTTTTGGAGTAAGAAACCAGGTTTCATTGCCTGAAATTACTGGTAATTCGTTGTAGCATTCGTTACGGTGCTGTGCCTTCACTACAGTAGTAGGAGTGCATTTTATGACATGAACTGCTTCTCCTGCGATCCTGGCAATGTATCCAGGTTTCTTCATGATGTTGTAGCAAATTCGTCAGGGGAGAGGGTTGCAAGGGATAGGGAGTTTTGTATTGTTTTCCTCTCTACTTCACACCTATCTGTAATGATTTTTCTGTAAAGATCGTTCAGCTGTCTGCCCAAATGCTTTTCGACATATACAAATTTAGAATTTACGTATGTGAATAAATCTATGTTGACCTTGCTTTTGCTAGTAACAGTATCTTTATCGAATTTATATTTGTTGAAGTTATTGTTTTCTTCCGTGTAGGCGAAATAAAGGTTACGTGTTTTATATTTATATGAATACTTTATTAAATGATAGAACACACAGCGTAATCAATACATTTCTTATGAAAGTAATATAAAGTATATAAGTGAACAGAGAGAAGCTCTGCACTGGATGAGCGGTACTCTCGGACTAACTAGCGTTGGCGTGGGCTCGGGCCTTCCTTCCTTGGGGTAATAAAGTCCAGGTCAAAAGGGACCGATGGGGCTGAAGTACATCTGTGTCATCTGTTTGTGTGTGTGCATATTTTCGTTGTATACTAACATTCCGCGATAAAGAGTTTTGGGTGTTCTGTTCTTATGAACTCTCTGTAGCATTTTAATATTTTATCTTTGGCTGTTAAAGCAAAGGTCGTGTCGCTAGTGTTTACCATGTATATTATGTCGTCATTGTGTGTGTTAAAGTATTTTGTTACTGGACCTTTATATAAAATATCGTAAGTGTTAGTAAAACATTCTTCCTGAAGTAAAATGTCCCAAAATGTATAACCCCCGTCAGAGTCTACGCAAGTTGTGTCTGAAAATTTACATATCGTTCCTGAGCTTAAATGTAATTTGTCATTATTCACAAAAATTTTCGCATAGGCTTGTATTAATGTGATTTTAATTGTGCCTTGAACAAGTACCTTACTCCATGATCCGAACCTGTCTGCGTAGGCTACGCCGCTGCAGCTTCCTGCATCGCCAGCGAAGTCTATGCCCTTGGTTGTTGTGGCGTTTATTTTTAAATCGGCAATCGTATGAAAATTCTCATACTTAAAAATTCTCGTTTCGTGGATAGTTTGGCATTGTTCATGGCTCAATTCATAAAAGTATTCCTGTTCTCCATTTTGTTCAGGTTCGAGGCGTCCGAATAATCCGCATTGGTATACTGTCCGATGGATTTCAATTTTGCATTGATGTACTGGAACATTTCTAAATTCTGCTGCTTGGATAAGTTCTACATTTACTATTGTTGAGTTTATGGTTTCGGTGTTAAAGTCGCATTCGTCAGCGTCCAATAGGGAGAATGTTATGATGTTTGTGTTTGTGATGCCGCAGTGATATCCAATGTATGCATAAGTAATTTGAAAGAATGTAATGAATAACGTTATTTTTGAATACATGATTTGTTTGTTCTTGATAATCCTAGCTTTTAATTGTTGATAAAATGTAGCAGGCTCTAACTGCTTGTTGAATTGTATGAGTGTAGCAGGCTCTAACTGCTTGTTGAATTGTATGAGTGTAGCAGGTGCTAACTGCTTGTTGAATTGAATAGGATAGGTTGTTGAATAATACTTGCACGATATTACTTTGTAACAGTCGCGAGTTTATGAGTTTATTAAGTAAAATGATCACCAATTGTCGGACCGGTGTGTACGGACTTGAGTCTTACAGGTACTTATTGACTGACTGACGGACTACTGATCAACTGCCGAGAGTAATTTGTTCATTCCTTTTTATATCTTTTATAACTTTTTTCAGGTCAGTATTGCGATATGGTGTGACATTTTGTTTTTGCTGAATATACAGTGCCGGTCAGCCACTTTTACCCCCCCCCCCCACCGGCAAAATCAGTCTAACTTCAAAGTTTTATATCTCTGGTAGAAATTAACGTACAGAGACGCGCGTGGGTGCGTTTGAAAGGTCTTTCGGAGAGCTTTCAAATGATATGACTCACGGTTGCCATCGATTGTTTTTTTAAATTTTGCAACAATTATGCAAAATTGAAAATTCTGAAATTTTTTTATTATTTTTAACAATAGCCAATTTTGGAAAAAAAATCGTACGAAAATTTGAAGTACACCATTTCTTAGCTATTACCAAGCCCTATCTGAATCACTCATCAAAAATTTATTTTCGTCAAATATGACGCGCGCACGGGCATTTTTTCCTGGAAGTTACAGTTTTTTTCAACATTTTTTATCTCCGTCAAATTGTAACAATCGAAAAAAATTTTATAAGAGAAAAAATGTTTGTTTTTTCACGTAGAAAACTGCAATAATTTTTTTTTCGGTTTTTCGAAAAATTTTTTTTTTCGGTTTTTTTCAATTTTTTTTCTCACAGTCGGTACGCTAAAAAGATGAGAAACCACATAAAAAAATTTTTTTCCACCCATTCAATAATACTACATAACAAGTATCGTAAATTACATTAAAAAAAAAAATCTTTTTTTTTTCGACCTTGAAAAATAATTTAAACCGAAAAAAAAAATTTTTCAAAAAACCGAAAAAAAAATTATTGCAGTATTCTACGTGAAAAAACAAACATTTTTTCTCCTATAAAATTTTTTTCGATTGTTACAATTTGACGGAGATAAAAAATGTTGAAAAAAACTGTCACTTCCAGGAAAAAATGCCCGTGCGCGCGTCATATTTGACGAAAATAAATTTTTGATGAGTGATTCAGATAGGGCTTGGTAATAGCTAAAAAATGGTGTACTTCAAATTTTCGTACGATTTTTTTTCCAAAATTGGCTAATTGTCAAAAATAATAAAAAAATTTCAGAATTTTCAATTTTGCATAATTGTTGCAAAATTTAAAAAAACAATCGATGGCAACCGTGAGTCATATCATTTGAAAGCTCTCCGAAAGACCTTTCAAACGCACCCACGCGCGTCTCTGTACGTTAATTTCTACCAGAGATATAAAACTTTGAAGTTAGACTGATTTTGCCCGGGGGGGGGGGGGGGGGGAAAGTGGCTGACCGGCACTGTATATTTTCTTGTATAAGTTTAGACGCGTAATAGTACTACTATTTAATTGATAATTTTTATTGAAAATACAATAAGCATGCAGTGAAATTAACTAAATTTAAATCAAATTTAAAAAACCTTACAACATTCTCAGGAAAATAGACAGGCAATCTATTTAATAAATATCTCAGTAAAAAATATTGTGCGTAAGTTAAATAAAAATATTTGTTTTATTGATTAGAATTTCGTAACTCATTCAATACGTTTTATTTTTTATTGAATTATTATGATTTGATTAATTTGGTATGAAAGGTGTCGAGTATTCATTTAATTCACGCATTATATTGGCAGCAGCTTTACAAAATAAAAAATTTTTTTACTTGAATCTGAAACTTTGTGAGATGTATTGCTTGTGGTACTAGAAATTAAAAAAAATTCGTTCCTAATTAGTTCACCATAATAGATAAAAAAAATCACTTTACTTACGTACTGAATTTTTGCATAAACTGCGATGAGTTACTGCTATCTGTTTCGTCATATGTTTTGCTGTTAATAGAAATATTAATTTTAATGACTCTGTAATTCAGATATATAATAAATATATATAAATATTAGCAGTTACAATTACTAAATATGTGGATAATTTTCATCGTAATTGAACTTAATTGATGTATATTAAAAATATTTTTTGTCAGTGTAGAACGTATTAAAAAGAGAAAATTGAAATTAATAAATAACAAACCCAAGGAATAAGCAAATCGGATACTATATTATAGTGTTCCTAATATGCTGTCATTTCCTCATATGGCAAAATATGTCGAGCACTAGGTACTTTTTGTAGGAGCATATTACTCTTTTGAAGAGTAGTAGTATATCAAAAGCTGAATTGATACAAGCTCACGATACTTTGCTTTTATTTATCAAAGAAACTGAAAGATCATATCTTCCCATCGTAATGACATTTAAAGTGCATCAGCTATTACATTTAGTGCAGAGCGTTATTCATTGGGGACCCTTATTTGCTCATTCTGGTTATTGTTTTGAAAATGGCAATGGATTAACAGTAAGGACTATCCAAACTGCCAAAGGAGTTCCACATTAAGTTTGTCCTTCAATAGCCATGAAATAAAGTGAGTTAATTTTAAAAAGACAAATAATATTGAATCCAGAATCGCACATAATATCATTTATTTCACATTTAGATTTGGTAAAATGCTAAAAGTACAATCAAATTGAGTGGGATGAAATATTTCGGAACCTCTAAAAAATTATCTAATTATTGGACAAGAACCCTCCCCAAATCGGTTATGAGCACACTCTAATGCGCTGAGCGAGAATTTAAAAACGAACACAGCCTCACGCTTGAGAGCTCTTACCTGGACTATCTGTCTCTGACAACAACGTTGCGTGTCGACTTTGGCTTACGGAAAATCCACAAGCGAAAGAGTAATTCCAAGGCCTACCAGCTCGTGCATCCTCGAGTTGACTAGCTACTGACAACAACTTTGACTATACATATGGCTTAGATAAAGAAAAGATGGAGCTCGTCTACTTCACTTGGGAATATGGCTAGTTGGTGCACCAAAGGAAGATTATCGTTCGATGATGCTCATAAATTTGTAAGACGCCGCTTTGATATTAATAATGATCGATAGAATATAAAGATCTTAGCTAATTCGTGAAAGGCCTTTGAAGTGAAAATTAATAACTTGTGATTACCGTTTAGATTGAATCGTTTACTGTGTGGAGTATGTGTATAGAATTTGCGAACGTGATCACGTAAAATGAAAATTATATTAAATAAAAATTGACCATTAATAGTTCAAATTGATCTATTTCTATTATTTCCTAGATCTTGTGCATAAGTGTTTAGTTGTTTGCCTTTTTGTCCTTGTTCTACTGACATTTAGATTTTGTGTTTACGCTGGCTCTTTAAATGTAATTATGCATAATATTTACTTGACATTTTATAATCTCAATTCATTTAAATATTTTATAGCTGTTTATAAAAAATGGTTAAGCAGAGATATTTGTATAAGTAATGTGCAGCAATTGGTGTGTAAGCAATTGGCTTCGCTCTGATAACAGCTATGCTATAACAAAGAAAGGAACATTTTTCCGAAATCATAGTTTTATTATAAATTACTAGAAGGTAAAAAAAATACATATTGTTTCAGAAAATAGAGGCCGTTATAGTCCATGATAATGTACCTTATATCTGGTAAGTTGTAAAGATTTATAACAGAAAAGAAGCTATTAAAACGGGTCATTTGCAAAGTATGTGTATAATATATCGATGTTGGTGAGAATTCATAGTTTTCAATACTGCTTAATTTATACCATTATTAATTTTATTACAAGTGAACTGTAAAATTATTATAAATTTATAAATATTTTGATTTTAATAAATTAAAACGATGCTTTCATTTTGTATAAAACAAGGTTTGTAGCTGAATTACTTTAGACTCGTCCGAAATGTATAATCTTACGATTTAACAGTAAATTTGTATTACTCTAATTTTCCTTCAATTACTAAACATAACATATTGGAGCCTCCGCATAACTGTATTGTATGTATTCACGTAAAGTGCTGAGTAAGTTGTAAGTTTGATAATATTGAATAAATATATAAATTTGAGAAATTGTTGTTGTGTTTGATAATATACAAAAATATTCCTTCATATTACCGCATTTATGTCCTCCAAAAGTATTATAAAAATATATTATTTTTAGAACAAGTAATAAAAGTTGACACTCTACTTAATAAAAAATGTCAATTCAATTTTACTTATCAATTTTATTTTTAACAAAAATTACCTGGTCAACTTTACCTACCTGAAATGCATGATTAGATAATGTTTCGTCGAAAGACGAAAGCATTCATATATATCTAAAGAGGAAGTATAATGTTGCAACGTAGTCGCTTTCTCCTTTCTCTCCTAGTGGCCACGTACTATTTATTTCTCTCTTTCTTATTTCCATTCATCGACATACCTACTCAGCATGCCTAACTACGATCTGACTATGTGACTTTTCTTTCTTTTCCTACTTAAGGAGAGTAGGGGAGAATGTGCGTTTTGGGTGACAGCGTGTTATAAGTTTAGTTGTCGAGGTCAAGACAGTATTAATCATTCGTCCGAACTAATCGCACGTTCTGAATTCTACATTCGTTAAACAGATTTTCATTAACTTATTTAATTTGTTAACATAATATAGTTAAGCTTAATTAGTTTCAATTCAAATAGTTAAATAAGTGCGTATTATATTCTAGTTTCTTAAAACTCCTCCAATCAGTTTCCTTTGTTTAAGTCGTGCAAATTTAGCAATCGCCGTGAGAAAGACCCTCCTCGAACCCAGGTAATACAAACACAAATTACACACACTCGTATATACGAGGTGTGATCAAAAAGTAAGGTGAATTTTTATTTTTCTCAAAAAATATTTATTTATTCATCAATTTTTATTTTATCTCCTTCAAAGTAATCCCCCTCGGATATAATGCACTTGTGCCAACGCTTTTTCCAATCCTCAAAACATTTCAAAAAATCATTTTTTGTGATCTTGTTTAGTTCATCCTTCGATGCCGTCTTTATCTCCTCAATCGTGGCAAAACGCCGTCCTTTCATGGGCCTTTTCAGTTTTGGGAACAAGAAGAAGTCACAGGGGGCCAGATCTGGGGAATACGGTGCCTGTGGCATCGTTACTGTGTTGGTTTTAGCCAAAAATTCGCGCACAAGCAACGATGTGTGAGCAGGGGCGTTATCATGGTGCAAAAGCCAATTTTTATTTTTCCACAAATTCGCACGTTTCTGGCGGATTGCTTCGCGCAAATTGCGCATAACTTGCAGGTAATATTCCTTATTTACTGTTCTACCCTGTGGCAAGAACTCATGATGCACCACGCCCCTGAAGTCAAAGAAAACTGTAAGCAAAACCTTTACATTTGATCAAACTTGGCGTGCTTTTTTTGGTCTTGGTGATCCAGAATGCCTCCACTGGGACGATTGAGTCTTAGTCTCGACGTCATAACCGTATACCCATGTTTCGTCACCTGTTATAACCCTGTTGAGTAAATCTGGATCATCGTTGACGTCATTCAGTAGCTCTTGGGCGATGCTCATGCGACGTTTCTTTTGGTCGAAATTGAGCAATTTCGGAACAAACTTCGCTGACACACGTCTCATGTCTAAAACACTCGTCAAAATTGATTGGCACGAACCAAATGAGATGCCAATATCATCAGCAATTTCTCTAATGGTAATTCGACGATTTCCCAACACTATTTTCTTCACTTCTTCAACATTCTCATCAGTTGTTAATGTGCTGGGGCGTCCAGAACGAGGTTCGTCGTCGGTGTCTTCTCGGCCTTCTTGGAAGAGTTTATACCACTTGTAAACATTTTTTTGGCTTAAAGTAGACTCACCGTATGCCACTTTCAGCATTTCAAGTGTTTTGGAACATTTGATTCCATTTTTCACACAAAATTTAATGCAAACTCTTTGATCCATGTTTTTAGACAGCAGCAAATCGTGGAGCACGCAAAACACTTCTAACCTTGATGCCTCTCACAAACAAACCAAACATACTACAAAGCTGAAATTTGGAACGTATGTTCTAGACGAGTGTACCGACATAACCAAATAAAAAAGTCGAAGATCGAACGGACGTAGCCCGCTAAATTTCAAAATTCACCTTACTTTTTGATCACACCTCGTATTATTGATTGACTAGCCACAAAATAGTTAATCAAGTCCACAGCGACTAGAAAAACCATCAATTCATTACATACATCATATTGGCCGACTAGCCACAAAGCAGTCGATCGACATCACAACATAACGTATTTTATTTCAAACATCATTTGGTCGGTTAGCCACAAATTAACCAATTTCAAATTTTATATCCGATATACATATCTACATAAATTTAAGTTATCAGTTGTAATCAGTAGAATCATAACACGTTTTTATTTTTTTTGTACAACGATTGTACGCATGTTATCACAATATCAATTTGTATTTTATTAATATAAATCAACCAAGGGTTTTTCTTCATTTAGGCAGTTTCCGTTTGCGTTTACGTGCAAACATTGTTTGCATGAAAGATCAAACCTGACCGAACCTTGTGGAGTTTTATCCAAAAATTTTAGGCCTATAATATATCGATCATATTGGCCTAAACTACGCATTCATTATTTAATATCCTTCTCACGAATTATGCATACATTCACGAACAGTTCATTTAAAGATTTTCTAGTTGCTACAGATAAAAATATCAATATGTAAATCAATTTATGATGTGTGACTAAAGTACATAACAAAATTATTTACAACAAATATTCAACGTATCTATGTAACTGAGTTACGTAACATTTCGACAAGTGTGCGTAAACCTGTGCAACTCAGTTACTCAACAATTGGGTAAAAAATGGTACACGATTAGTTACATCATTTTCTTACGTAATAGAATCAACAAATTTTGATACGTAACAAAATTTAAAAACTCTTTTCAACAGGGTCAACTTGTAGCGTTAAACTTAATGTGTC